AAAACCATCAATGATATTTTGAATAAAAGAGGTATCTCAAAAAGATAATATATAATTTTAGAAATAAAGATATCATGCTTTATTTGAAAATAATGAAGATCATGGTTTTTAATGACCAGATATTAGAACAGCACATATGAGGGTATTTTATAAACAAAGATTTATATTATGAGAATATTTTAAAAATAGTCGGATCGGTTGAATTTTCTCATTTTACATCCGGAGCTAATACCAGCGTTTATAATTTCAGCAAAACTATTATCAAAAAGATTATATCTGTGAGGAATGGGTCTGCTGGTACTCTCAAGGAGAAAGAATTTATAATTCCTCCTTCAAAATACCAATGAAATTTACATATTGGGATTATATTGAAAGTTTTCATAAAGCTTTCTTATATGAGAACCCTTCAAGAAAGCATACTTGGTTCTTAAAGTATGTGAAAAGGTTTATAACCAAACCAAAGATATACCAAATGGTTTAATAAGAGTGGACTCTCATATGGTCCAAGTATATATATTTCCGGAAGAACCATTCAGAAAATTATATGGGAATGGCTACCAGTCTCTCAAGATACCTGAAAAACAACCATTCCTTGAAATCAGAAGGACTAGAAGCAATATCTTCTATGATTTTTTCATGGAATTTTCTATTCTGGATATGGAATGGTCCCCACATGTGGATTATACTCCCACTAAATTTCCCTCTCTACAAAGATTATATTTTACAAAATTCTGGCCTAAACTGCTTCATAAAGATCTAGAAACCAAAAGTTCTTATGCCCAGGAGACAATTGATCATATAAACAACAAAACAAAAAAATACCAAGATCAGCAAATTTCTCGGATATACCCCCTCCAACCCCTCAAAAGGTTAATCTAACTAAATAAGACATGATCAAATCATTCAGATTAATTGTTCTGAGATGAAGGAAAACCTTAAAGCCCTTGCAGAACATGATAATGTAAAAGATGAAGGTTCAAGTGATGAAAATTTCAGATAACTGTCAATTGAAAACCAAAGCCAATCACAATGCTAGCAGGGGATCCCAGGCAGAGGATGAGGAAATTCCAGATGGAGAACTTCCCATTGATGCATGATTGACATGATCGAGGAGTCCAATCACTCAAAGAAAGAATCTTTCAAAAACAAGAGGAATCTCATCACAATAGACTCAAGATGCCAAAGTGTGATCCAAAATAAAAGAAGATAAAATTTCTCAGAAATTATTGACGGACCCGACAATATTCGTCAGAAATTATAAAGACGGCGATCCAAACAAAAAAGTTCATTTCTACTTTTTTAAAAATTTGTCTGCAATGCTCAATGTAATAATTCATGTTTTGTTCGTTTTTGAGTTCTCCTAGTCTATTTAAGGAGATCTCCTCTATGTTTAAGGCAGACTTTTGAGCCATTCTATTCTTTCTTCTTGTAATCTCCCCCCTGTAAAAATTTTTGCAATAAAGTGTCCGAAATATTTGGAGTATCGAAGTGCTATACATCAATCTTGGATCCACCTTTCTGTTAGTCTACTTCCTTAAACTTAATTTTATCTTTAAGCCTAATGCAAGGCTAACTTGTTAATACCACATAGTATTATCATAGAAGCAGTATTATGATCAACAAATCATAATCAAATATGAGTAAAAAAATGATTAATAATTAATAAAGAAATTTATATAATTTCATTTTATATAATAATATAGAATGAGTCTATTCCTATTCTCTTAGTTAGGTACTAGTTGCATCATGATTTGATATTTTGTCGCTTGTTATCTTTCTTTCTTTCTTTCTTTTTCGTCTTTCTCCATTATTAGTATTATTATTATTATTATTATTATTATTATTATAAGATTTGTTGTATTTTTATTTATTTATTTATTTATTATTAGAGGAAATTACATGAACGGTCTATGTGGTTTGTGGTGGTCTATGAACGTGATCTCTATTTTTTTCTACTCAAATATTGTCCAAGCAATGATTCTATTATGTATTTTAATTATAAAGTCCACCTTACATCGCTTCATGATGTGTTGTTGGAGAACCGACCAATCCACCATCAACAGCTTATATCAATTTCTATATATTTCACGTTCGGCTACCAAACCATTGTAGAATCTTGATGACAATTATATATAAGCAATAAACACATTGGAAACAATAATCAGTTATCCACCAAGATTGAATCGAAGATCACAAATTTTACAACTACCTCTTGAAAGACTTGGAGAGGGATATCTCTATCAACCTCACCCCTCGATTAGTTTTGATTAGGAAAAAAAAACTATTGACAAAATCTTTTGTCTGAAACCTTTCTTTGTTTAGAAATAGCTACATAATGACCACCATGAACAAGGGCGGTTACAATAGATACATGATTTATAATGTCTTGCAAACCAATTGTAACATTCAAGTTCTGGTAAGTTTTCCCTTTTGGTCCTTAATGCAAAATACTTTCAAATTTGCTCCCTTGGTTAGTACATGGGGCGTACTCAATGGGTACACTTAGCGTACTAGCCACATCTTGGTCGCGGGACTTAACCACATATGCGAGGCGTACGTGGAGTACACATGACGTACGTGAGTCTGAGACAAACCCTAATTTTTAGGGTTTGCACCATATGTAAACCTCGTGATAGCCTCATTTGGGCATGTTTAGCCAGCCTCCATCCCCCTTGTCCCAGAGAACGAAACCCTAAGTGTGTTAGTGAGTTTGTGAGCTTGATAAAAAGATTTTTGGTGTCTTAAGGTGAAGAAGAAGAAGAGAAGCCCTTGTAGACGTTGATTGAGCTTGTAGATCCAGGATCGCTTCCACATTTGCAAGCTTTTTGAGGTAAAAAGCTTACACCTTTTGTGCTCTTCTATACTAGATCTAGTTCATGGAACATTTGAGCATCTATTGAGTCCTTTGTATTAAAGGAGAGCTTTTGATCTATTCCAGAGGTTGTGGATGCTAGATCTTAGCTCATTTTAGTCTCCAAGTTCATAAAAATGTCAACTTTATGGAGCATTTGGACCCATGCATGTGTTAAGACCCTTATTAAGCTCTTTTTGAGCTCTTGGGCCCTATTAAGCCATGCATATGTGTAAAGTTGCCAACTTTACGTGATAAGTGGTCTTATAGAATCAGATATGAGAGTTTGGCTTGAAGTATCAATGGATTAAGTGCTTAATGGAGTGGGGTGGCAAGCTGGGGGGAGTACGCTGCGCGTACTAGCCCCAGAAGGTGTACGCTAAGCGTACAAGCTGAGTACGCCGCGCGTACTCAGCAGGTAGGCTTTTTGGGCTTACATTCTCGGTTTGGGTGATAGGTTGGGTTTTCTTCTTTTGGGCCTTGTTGGGCCATTAGACTTATGATTTGGGCTTTAGGTTCCTTTGGATTTTAGGCCAAGATGGGCTTCGGGACCAATTTGGAAGATTAGGCCATATTTGGGCTTTGGGTGATTATTTAGGATTTGGGCCTTTTGGACATTAAGTTGGGCCTTGGCTTTGGGCCAAAATAGGAAAAGGGTAAAATGGTCTTTTACCTTGGGTTTGGGCTAAGTATATTGGATTATTGCTTACGGGCTGAGACCCAATATTAATTAGATGTTGTTTTATGATGATAGTGCGGGGAATTATTAGACCAACAGGGAAAGATTTATCTATGTTGCATTTAATTCTATTAAATGAAATGACAATTATACCAATTTGTTGCATTTAATTCTATGGTAGTTGCATTTAATTTCATTGTAGTTTAACTAATAATGAAGGGTATTTTGGTAAAAATGATATTTATTTTTAGAAGTAGACAATTATTTTGGGACAAACAAAAAAGGAAATATGGACTATTAACTTTGGAACGAAGAGAGTATAAAATATATAGTTGTCAACTTACAAGCCCGGTCTAGGAGAGGGGGGGGGGGGGGGGGGGGGGAATATGGGCCACCGCCTAGGGCCCATATGAACTTGGGGGCCACAATTTATATCAATAGGTATTTAATAATAATTAAATTTGTCGATTCATAATGTGAAATAGGCTCCAACGGACTTAGTAGGAGCATTTTCAATCAACTGAGGCACCCATGTTCAATTCCCTGCAGTTGTATACTTTTTTTTACCATATAAGTGATCCCTTTTTTTTTTCTTTTTAATATGTGTAATCAGAGTTCAAAAGTTTATTTCCTTGCAATTCAGTGAATACACCATCAATTATCATACAGGTCCAACTATCCTTTTTTTTCCAATTGCTTTTTTTTCTTATTTTTACTTAGCTTTCTTTTATAATGTATATTAAAGTAATATCCAATAAACAATCAAAAAAATAATAACACATAGTAGGCCGAATGATTTATATGTTTGATTTTATTAAAATGTTATGTAATAGTATTGATTTTGACGTTTTTCTAATTATTTTATTTAAAATTCATTTGAAGTCATTTGCATACAATTCTATATAATAACAATATTTTTGTAATAAATTACTAAATATTTTTATTTAGGATCCGTAGTTTGTCTATCATCAAGAGTCTTCGAAAAAAATTAACTTAGATAATTATTATATAAATTTTGGTAATCTAAAGGTTTTTTTTTTTTTTTTTTTTTTTTTTTTTGCCCGGAACATCAAATATGTTAGGGTTGGCTTGTCAACTGATTAACTTTTTAACAAAATCATTATTTTAATAAATGAATAGTTTTAATATCCTTTTGTCAAGTGTCACTCTAATACAACTCCTCATTAATATTACGCAATGTGTCATGTAGATATATTAGACAACTCATTTCAAAATTCAAATTTATATTTTCTAATTATACGTTAAATTTGAAGTTATAATAAGTTTAAAATTTTGATATATCTCTTAATTAATAATTTATTTAAAATGACTTATTTAAAATAACTGATTAATAATTATAAATTTTTATTATAAAAGTTTAATTATTTTTTTAACTGTGGTTGGTTATAAACTAGTAAATAAATAAATAAATAAAATAAGGGACTCATAGTATATAACTTTTTCAAAAAGCACGTCCAACGGTATCAGTATCTAAACTTCCATCAGATCACCTCCGTGGGTCCAATAATACATTCCGTGGATCTCTCGAACTCTTTATGTAGATCGGCATCTAAATCCAAATCCATTCGATTTCTTCTCCTCTAATGGTTATATAACTTCCATATAATCGATCTGATCATCATTCATCACTCATCACTGCAATCGTTACCAATGGCGGACCAGAAACCACAGCTGTTTGAACTAAACAATGGAACAATCAAGGTTATGGTGTCTAATTATGGTTGCACCATCACCTCCTTGTTCGTTCCTGATAAAGACGGTATCATTCTCATCTCTTATCTCCCCTTTCTTCTCCTTCTCGTTCGAAACTCTTTAATCGCTGATGATGTTTCGGATGTTGAATTTTAACAGGAAAATTGGATGATGTTGTTCTTGGATTTGACACTCTCGAACCCTATGTGGTGAGTTCCTTGACAATTCACTGCGAAAGCAACATGATTATCTTGGTGATCCAAAGTATACCCTACTATTTCACTTCCCCAAAATTAGGGTTTAACTAAATACGCAGTCCGCATCACAAAAGGGATAATTCAAATTTTGAGATAAAAGAACAAAACTTTAGGATTTGGGAAGGATTTGAAGGCTACAATTTGGGCTATGATTTCAACCCACTTATAGTAATCAATTTTGAATTTGATTTCATATATACCCTAATTTTGTGGTTTTTTTTGATCTATCAGAATGGTTCTGCACCCTACTTTGGTTGCATTGTTGGGAGAGTTGCAAACAGGATTAAAGAGGGGAAGTTCACACTCAATGGGACTGAATATTCTCTTCCAATTAACAATGGTCCAAACAGTCTCCATGGTATGTAGTAATTTCTGAATTTTGTTATCAATGTGTATTGTTGTCAATTATGTCAATTACTAATTTTCTTTACAGTGTTATTTAGTTGTCATTCTGTTTTCCTATTTCTTGTTTTAAGGTGGGCTTAAAGGATTTGACAAGGTTGTTTGGGAAGTCGTTGAGCATAAACAGGGAGACAATCCATCAATAACCTTTAAATACCATGCTCGTGATGGGGAAGAAGGTAATCAATTCTCTCTGT